TTGAGATCAAAGGTGTCTCAGAATTCACTGACTCTTTATTGAAATCAAAAGTGTATCTGAAGTAATTCTGTTCATATGGAATCAGACAAAGTCTACTTAGTAGTACAGAAAATAACAATTTCATTAAAGTTCAAATTTTGAACATATGATTTGACCCTTTCAGTAGAGCCAAAAAAAAAAAACCAGTTGTGTTGAAGCCTTATTGTAAGAAAATTTGTGATATTATGCTATATACCTTTTCTAATGCAATACAGCATGAGTTGCCTTTACCTATAGCTACATTTATATATGAAGAAAATCTTTGATAAATGTTTATCTTTAGGGTCATTTCTTAGGAACTTATGGTTTTATTTTTACTCCCTTTTTGCAGTATGGTCATTATAACCTACATTTTACACTTGAGCAACTGCAGTTATGTTTATATATAGACAGACATATATCAATAATATTTAAAACACATATATTTTACATGTGGAAATAATGTGAAAAGAACTACTAAATCTTGAAGATGATTAACAAAAATGTACATAAATTTTGAGTTTTATTATTGCAAAATCAACATCTAGTTTCAGAAAAGGCATGCTTTTTTAAATAAACAAAAGTAAACTTTCTTATATGTTGGTTACAGTACTACATTGATAATGGGAATGCACACTCTTAATTCGACTGACTTTCCACTATTTGAGGAATGGACTGTTAGTCGATTGAATCTCTATCAAAGTATGAGTTATTTATTTTCATGATTTGTGACCAACATCTCTTACATTTGATATCCCAGTGTTTCCGTGATTGGCTTAAATGTCTATTAGATGTTAAAAGCATGATAAAAAAAATTTGGGACCATGTTTCAAAGATGTATTAATGTATTTGATTTTTAGTTGTTTTTGTGTTCTCTTTACAGATGTACTGAAAGAAGCAGGAAAATTCTCTCCACAGATGTTAATCACAGAAATAGAGGGTGTCAAACACAAACATCGGACAAATAAATATTGTGATGAACTCATAAAGATATTTACATCTTAACGAAACTTAAATACAAAACATAATAATGATTGATATATTAGATAGATAATATGCTGATGTGTTCAAACACCATATCATGTCAAGTTTTATTTGTATTCATAAAATCATTACAGTACTGAGTTAATGAATTCTTTGTAGTCCACGCCTATTAAGTATTTAGTTGTAGTTTTGATATGCTACATTTGAAGCTCATCTGACTTTTAAGCAAACTTATATGGATCCTTTTCATTCAACATATGTAAGCTTTATCTTAAACATCTATGTTAATTTGGCTACGGTTAAACTTGGAATGAATTTCCTTATGATGGATGGCAGGAAAGAAAACATATGTATATGATTTGGTTTAACAACTTATATCTCACATGTGATGAATGTCACAAAGCAAGACATGAGTTACTTACCAGACATTACATCAGTTTTCTGATTAGTATAAAAAAAAGATGATGTATGATTAAAAATTTGACAACTTTCCACCAAAGACCAACTAACGTCAAAGTTTGCATCTATAGGTCACCCTACGGCATTCAACCATGACCAAAACCCATACTGCATAGCTATATCAATATAAGGCCTGATTAGGTTCATTTCAAAAGAAATCTTCTTAGATCATCATTTTTATTTTGTTTACATATTATGTATCTGATTTCTCAACTGCATGAAGTACCATATCAAATTTGTATAGTCCTCGGTTTTTTTCTCTCCAAAATTAGTATATAAGGCCCCCTGGAGTCCTGCTCCTGTGACTTTTAAAGTTTTCTGATAAAGCCTGTTATGACAGGCCTTTGATATGTGACCTTTCTTGGCTCTCAGTTTCAAAGACAATATAAAGCTCAGTCCCTTTGGTCTTCTCTCAGTGATTTTTGTTTCACTTGTGACACTTGATGCAGAATTCAGGGATGCAATTCTGACAGTGGTAACAGCTTAAACTATTTGTTAAAGCTTTGTATTTCAGAAGGTAGTAGACCTTGATACTAAATACATTGGATGTAGATGAGTTATGCTACAAACTTTTCTTCTGTCATATGTCCAATGTCCTTGAACTCATTTTCATGGTTCAGCAACTGCTTAAACAAGATTGCACACACTAAAATGTCTCCCCTGGTTTACCTATCATGATAGAATTTATGTTGAAAGTCTGTAATATGAATGTTTTACTAAAAGTATCACATACACTTAACATTAACATTATCAATGATCCATGAAGATGAGGTTATGTTCAGATGAACCAATCCATACACCAAATACAGTGGCTCTGATGCTTACAGCACTTAAGAAACAAACCAAACCACAAAATCTTAACATTGACCTATAAACCATGAAAATGAGGTCAAGGTCATATGAACCTGCTCAACAGACATGTACACAATACAATCATTCTAAATATAGTATCTGATAAACTGACAAAACCATGAAAACTTTTAAAAAACATTAACCAACGAACCATGAAAAGGGGGTCATTGTGATATGAAACCTGCCAGGCAGACATATACACCTTACAATCATTCAATTTACCAAATATAATGGCCCTACTGCTTTAGCATCTGAGAAAAAAACAAATAACAAAAACTAAACATTGTCCAATGAACCATGGTCAGATGAAACCTTCCAGTCAGACATGTACACCTTACAATCATTCCATACACTAAATATAGGTGCCTAATCTAAAAACTTACACATCATATCATAGCAAAAATTCTTTATCTGTAAAATATATGAAATGCAGGGCGGTTACCCAGTCGTGATTTGGCCTTGGACGTAGCTTATCAAGAAGCATAGTTGAATTTGCTCTCTCTAAAGATTGTTGTGCAGGCATAAAAAAAAATTGTCTCTGGTTTAATTTGTATTTCCTTCATAGTCTAGTGGTTTCGAATTGTAGAATAAAACATAAAAATATCAGAGCAATTTGTATCCCACCTGTACCTGCCACCATTTTTTTCCATATTGCTTATAGTATCTTATGGAAAGGACTTACGTGAAATGTCAAATCAACTTAAAGAAAACTTAACATCAACCAATAAACAATGAATATGAAGTCAAGGTCAGATTAACCCTGCCAGATGGACATGTTCACCTAACAAACATTCCATACACCAATTATGGTAGACCTTTTGCCTATATTATTTCAGATATGCAATTGGCTGCGAAAACTAAATGTAGATCACTCATCCATTCATATCCCAACAATGAAAAGTTTGGAGAAATTGCTATTTTAACCCTATTTGTGTATTCAGTTCAATCCAGGTTTATTTGGCCCCTGTATGAGGTCAAGACTCTTTGTGTTTTTTCGTTCTCATACAAGTTTCCAGTTGGTGATTTGCAGTTTGTTGTGGTGTTGACTTTAATATTTGTATATCTTGTGGAGTTTCTAAGAAAAGACTAAAGCAAAGCTGCAAATTTTAAATCATTACCCTGTTTGTTTTTGATACATATACAATCTGATATAAGTACAGATCCTGTGTCCACGCTTCGCTTACAGGGATCTGACAACAATACATTCTACTTTCTATTCTGGTAATTATTAAATCAGCAAATGTTATTTAGCCATCTTTAAAACAGAAAGGTGCGTTGTTGTGATGTGTACTTCCTAAATCTGTGTCAAGATAAATTCTTTTGTAGGTTTACTAATATCTTTATATTTTTCTTTTGCATGTGTTCTCAATCAATGTAATCCATGTTCCTACAGTTTTGTCCATGTCTTCCAGTCAAGATGATGATTTTGTTTTGTCTGTTTATATTACATGTTGTCATGATTGTGTTGTTTTTTTTTTAGATTCATTTAAAACAAGAGTGCACACGTTTAAATGTCTCGCCTGTTACTTATCATTGAATTCATGTTGAAAGTCTGTAATATGAAGTTTTACTACAAGTATCACATAAACTTAACATTATCAATGTTCTATGAAAATGAGGTCACAGTCAGATGAACCATGCTAGACAGACATGTACAACTTACATTCATTCCATACACCAAATATAGTGGTCCCATTGCTAATAGTACCCGAGAAACTGATTAAACCACAAAATCTTAACAATGACCAATGAACCATGAAAATGAGGTCAAAGTCATATGAACCCTGCCAGACAGACATGAACACCTTACAATCATTCCATACACCAAATATAATTGACCTATTGCTTATAGTACATTGTAAAGGATAAATTGACAAAATTATGACAACTTATCATTGACCAATGAACCATGAAAATGAGGTCAAGGTCATATGAACCCTGCCAGACAGACATGTACACCACATAATTGTTTCAATACACTAAATATAATTGACCTATTGCTTATAATATCTGAGAACTAGACCGAACCACAAAAACTAAAAATTGTCCAATGAACCATGAAAATGAGGTTGAGGTCAGATAAAACCTACCAGACAGACATGTACACCTGACAATCATTCCATACACCAAATATAGTGGCCCTATTGCTTATAGTATCTGAGAAATAGACCAAACCACAATAAATAAACATTGTCCAATGAACCATGAAATTGAGGTCAAGGTCAGATGACACCTGCCAGATGGAGTTATACACCTTACAATCATTCCATACACCAAATATAGTTGACCTATTGCTTATAGTATCTGAGATACAGACTTGACCCCGTAACTTTAACCTTGATCACTGATCCATGGAATAAGGTCAAGGTCAGGTGAACCCTACCTGATGGACATGTAAACATTGCAAGGAACCCATATACCAAATATAGTTATCCAAAACAAAAAAAATAGGTAATTTTTTTTCAAGCAGTCATTGAACCATGAAAATGAGGTCAAGGACAATGGACATAAGACAGACGGAAACTTCGTAACACATAGTATCTGCACACAAGGTATGAAACATCCAAGTCTTCAAACTTCTGAAATATAAAGCTTTAAACTAATAGTTTACGCCATCACCGCCTGCTTGTTATACCTATGTCTCGCATATAGCGATGAAAAAGCCAGACAAAAATACCAAAACAGAGTTAATAGACTATTATTTACTCTGTATATTTTAACAAATACTGTAAAATACATTCACAGACTAGTTTCAACAAGCATGCATAATCAAATGATATACTGTATATAGGGATATTTCATGCCTGTCTAGTTCTGATATATTCATGATTGACAATTTAATGCAAATATTTCACCTCAGAAAATTCCTTTTGGAATCTTGAAAATAATTAGCTTATATTTAATTGATATGTGGTATATGAAGATCAGGAAAAAACAAGCAGGCATAAAAATCCCAACATACAGTATACAATTTTTACAAAAAAGTTTCTATTCATATAACATTTAGTATCAAAATCTATCTAAATAAAAGCAGCAACCACATTCAGAGATTCTCTAATTCTGTTCAGATTTTAAGAGTATAATTAGTAAAGTGTTCTATCAATTATTTATCTAACAAGATTTTTTTTTTAATTTTCTACATAAAAAGCTTGTAACCTAGAATTTTACATTTATATTTTATTTTGATTCAACCATCTCCTTTTGTGTTAAGCCCAAAAGGATCCATCCTAATTGTAATGCAACTTCAAAACATGAAAAATACTACATAAACATAACATTTACACTGAATGCTTTTGTAATAATTCACAAAAACAGAACATTAAACATAATTGCAGTGATAATTATTTTTCCAATCAAAATGTAAATTGTATCTTGTTATAAAGATTTCATACCATTTTGAATGGACAATTATCACTTCTAAGCTTTTTCATTACAACAAGATACAATAAATAAAATTTCATCCATTATGAACATGTTACCCAAAACATGATAATATGTTATAAAATAAAAAATATATAAATTGCCTTTTAATAAAATATATCACAGACTGTAAGATAAGATCTTTTCTTCATCTAAATGTTCGAAATAAAAAGATCTCATTCAAAAATAAAATGCACTATAAATGTCTGTCAACTTCCAATTTTTCATCTTGCTGAAGCTCTTGGTTTCCCTACTATGAAAGGAGGAGCATTTCCTGAAAATAGAGTGAAAAAAATAAATTTCAACGTTTTACAATCATCTTTAAATCTATCTGGTTTATTTTGCTGTCATAATAAAATCAATCTAATACTGGAATTTAATTTGGTTTGTATGTTTTTCAACATTAAACAGATACTGTACCCATGTGCCATCTAGGAATTTTCAAATTCTTTGTAAACTGGCATCTTTATATCTTTGATATACTTTTTGCAAATGAAGTGTTATAAATTATATAAGAAATATTATATCTTCAAGATGATGTAATAGATTTCAATAAAACTTTACACAAAACCTTTATATCAATAAATTATGATTATGAAAGTTATCAATTCATGACTGACAATATTAAACAAGGTGAAGTAGAAATCTTTGACTCTAGAAAAAAGTAATAAAATTAGAAAGTTTGCATTCAATACCTCCTATTTTGTCTTACACATAAAATATTAGTGTGTGCTCACCTTTATTAGATGCAGGCTTTTCACTTGTTGATACTTTTGATTGGTACAAAGATCTATAAGAGAGAGAAAAATATGAAGAATTTCAAAGCAGAAACAAAGGTGAAAAAAACTGCTTATACAATTACATATTGCTTATCAATAACTTACACACTTTAACTATTCATATTTGGACCAAAAAATGGCATAGTATTGCAATAATGAATAAATCCCTCTAAATCGGTTTCAGCTTAAATTCAGTTTTTTGTATACTTTAAGATTTTTAAAACTTTTTTGACTAATCACTACACCTGTTTGATAGTTTTTCTATGTCGATATACAATTAAATTTGAGAAAAAACCCATAAAAAATCAGCCACACACAATAATTATATATACCTGTATTGTCTTGCCTGAGCCAAGTATTTTCTAGCAAGAGCTATTTCTTGTCCAAGTCTGCGTAGATCATCACCTTCAAATTCAGGTAAATGAGGGTACTGAAAAATATAACATTGACTTCATTCAAAATATTCGATAAGAATATACTAAAAATAACTCTGAAAAGTTTTAAATTGAGGAAAACCAGTAAAAGTGTATCATAATAGAATATAATCTTAAAGTCTGATTGTTGGACCAAGATTATATATTCTTTTGTAATTCATAGGTAAATAAGAAAAGGAATTTAAAAATAACTAAATTAGGAGAAAATTCATTCAGATAAAACAGGGACACAGCCCTTGTTCAACAGCAAGGCTTATATATTTACCCTTGCCTATCTGCAAATTTATAAATCCCTACTGTTTGAATACTTTTAGCTTATAGGTCCAGTTTTTAGAAAACTGTGTAATGTTCTTAATATCTTTGATAGTACTACACTGTTCTGGAATGCTTGGGTATTATGACACACTTAGGCCAGGGTTTTTTAATTTGTTGGTTTACAGATCCGCCGACCCTATTTTTCCAATTTGCAAATAAAAATAAAATTGACATTTCATGCTTTTTTATTCCCACCGACCCTAACAAATACATTATCCCTGAAATATAAATAAAAATATTCTTTTTTATGAAATTGAATGCACTCAACATTAGCAGAAATTATTACACATTGTGGTGTAAAAAATTAAAAATCTAAAAATAATCTGTAGGTTTACGTATCTAAAAATAGACAATCATAACTGACCTTGAAAAATTATTTTGCGGAATGAAACCTGTGTTAAAAACACATTACAATAAGTTTGTTTTCCTTTTTTGTCATAATTCCGTAAGATTTATCATCTTATAGATGAAATGGACATGTCCAAACGTGAAAGACGCCAAGTTAAGAGTAAGAGATATTCACAAACAATTTGGAATTTTCTTATTTCATAGATTGAAAAAAAAAAGGTTTGTCCATTTGGATATCAAAAACGGGAATGCATGACAAATGATGGAATCGATATCCTCGTCTTTCTGGTGGACGAGTCTACTTCGTTTTTGACACAGATGGTAAAATCTTATTTTCGTACGATGTGTTAGCAATTTTTATTTCACGTTTTCGTGTTTGAAGATCATTATTCACCATGTTTCCTGAAAGTTGATAAAAAGTAACCTGGAGCTGTTTTCTCTTGTTTGTGAAATGATGATTAATTTCATGTTTGTCCGTGGACATACCCTCCTTTTTCAAATTATATGAAGATGGCACACATTGTATGTTCAGGGCTTCCAAAATTATTTTTAGCCAGCCGGACATTTTATATATTATCCCGATTTTAATCCCTTAAGACTAAATAAACAAAAGGCAATTATGGTAATCAGTTGCCGAGTTGGCCATCCCAATGATTGACATTAAAAAAAACGTTATTAAACTTTCTTTGATTCAAATTCGAAGTTCTGACGTAAACTGTTAAATTGGCAGTGCATCATTTGAAGTGTGCAACATCAGCGTACTTATATCTGCCTTAGACTCTTTATTTGTGCAAAATAACTTTGTAAAAAACTTGACTTTCGTTTTTATACCGGATGTTATCTTAACAATGGTAAAACATGGACCAGAGACGGATACGTAAATTCCGTGTACGTTTGCCAAGCGTGAATGAGTGGAAGTAGCTCTTTCTACGTTATTTCTTCAAGAAAATATTCGAAATAAACGTGAGATAAAGGTATCAATGACAATTTAAGCATTTTTTGAAGAAATTAGGATGCATAATTAAATTTCACACCTGCGCACATGCGCACACGTGTACTAGTTCAAACAGAGACATGTCTCTAGGTTCAAACAACGTGGTTATGACGTTTTTTCATTTTCACCTTTTTAATTTTTTCATCAAATCATATTTGTAAACGTATTTCTGATAATTTAAACCTTTTTGACTAAATTAATTAGATGCAAACCGCTGAAATGTAAGAAAATAACTTTGAATAGACCGATCAATGTCCGGTTCAAAATAGTTTACCTGTCACCTGAACAGGTAAATTTCAGCTGTTTGACAACTAATTAGCCTTGATTAAAATGAGAAGGTATTGAAGTAGGGGTTGTTTTGATAGTACTTAATGATCATGTCACTTTTATGACCGGAAATGTGTGGCTGTTAAAGGCAAAACGTTGGGTCAAAAAGATCGCGAATTATGTTAAAATGACCGTCTCTTAAAGCCTTGAAAACTAAAAAGTAGATGACCGTTTCATGCTTTGCCCAGCCGGACTTTTACCGGACATTATACAAATGTCCGGCATATATGACCGTTTTGGAAGCCTTGTGTATGTTTAAAACAGCTCAGCAATAATATTTGGGACTAAGGTTTAAGAAATGATGACAAAATAGCATACCAAAAATACTGTTAGTAAGCTGAAATATATATTTATTTTTTATATATTTATGTCTTGTAAGATTTTTTTTTCCGACTGACCGACCCGACTTTTTCATGTGAAAAATCTGTAAACCAACAAATTAAAAAGCCCTGGCTTTAAGTGCCTTTAGTTTTAGTTTTTGCATTTATGTCCATTGTTTCAGAATCCTATACTTTCATATCTATTGCACTTCCCTAGTCATCTTGTTAAGTACATAGCTGCTCAATAATATAAAAGGTCACTATGACTTATATTTGACTTATAAGTGTCTTAAGCTAATTTATGTTTTTACTTAATTCTCAAAAATATATATTATATATTTTCATTAATAATTCACCACTACCGTGTTCTTATGTAGGATAATGCTATTCAGCAAAATTCGGGTCAATTTGACCTACAAAGTAAAGTTTTGCATTTAGGTCTTTTCCTCAAAATCCTATGGTAATATGTCAATGATGTTCACAATTGTAGTGTTCCTGTAGAGTACAATACAGCAACATTTGATATCTGATGTATTTTTATACATACATACATACATATATATTTAATATGTGTGTAATGTATTGAACATACTCAGTGCCTTACCTCTGTATCTCCAAAGCCTTCAGTAAGCAGTTTGTGTGCAAATAATTGAGCATCAAAATCACTGTGGCACATATGGAATCTTCCTCCTGTTTGTGTGGCTAATAACTTCAGGAAATTGTTGGCAGTGCTATAAATTATAATAAATAAGAATGACTTTTTCTGTTAAAAAAATGTCCAATAGTTTAGCTATCACTTAAAAATAAACATCTGATTATAAAAAGGCGACAGTGATAAGAAAAGGGAAGCTGTTAAGTAAAATATTATTTTTGTTACACATATGCATTATCTCAAATCTCAAGTACCAACAGGAATTTCTAGTAGTTTCTAACTTGAATAAGTCATGTCAGAGACTGGAAATCTCAGGTGCTCAAGATTTCAAGTTGTCTCATAAAAAATGGTCTTTTTAATGTGTTAGATTCTCCTCATCTTTTTATTCATATCTATTTTGATATTCTTATTCTTGCTTTGAGATTTTTATACACAGGCTATGTAGCCTATTGTAACTTAATTGTGAGACTGCTTGAGTTTACTTCCATTGAAGATTTTTAAAATACTGGTATTTTCTTTGATTTGAATTTCTCTTATTTTTCCATTCTTCACCTTCTTTTTAAGATGCATGAGTACTAGTGTGTCACATTTACTAACATTGTTATTTCAAACTATTTCTCCATCCTCTAGCCTCTCTCAGTATGCATGAAGCACTTGTGTATCACACTTACCTATCAGAACAGTTAAATGATATTGTGTTGATCTGAATGTTTCTTTCATTGTTCCCTTCTCCAACCTCTCTATGTATAAGTGACATACTAGTGTGTAAGACTTACCTATCGGAACAGTTAAATGATATTGTGTTGATCTGAATGTTTCTTTCATTGTTCCATTCTCCAACCTCTCTAAGTATAAGTGATGTACTAGTATCGGGTTTACCATCAGTTAACATGTAAATAGCTTCTATCTCTGGATCATCAAAAGCCATCTGTGAAATAAAACCAATAAAATTTTCATTACTGCAATTTTTCTAATCTCTGTGAAATTTAAATTTCTCTTTTGACCTAAGTCAACCATTTTTTACAGATTGATTGACTACTTTGGTAAAATATTTCAAAAATTTATCTAATTTTGTCACAATAAAAATATTTCATGCTTGGATATCATTTTGTAAACTAACAGACATCCTTACAAATGTGAAGTACAAAGGAAATGAGTTTCATTGACTTTAGGGGATCCTGTACTTTAGGGACAGGATTCAGTTTAGGGTAGGGGTTAGGTCAGTTTTTTTTAGGCTAGTACTAGTGTAAGGGTTAGGGAAGGGTAAGTGGTAGTTTTAGGATTTGGGTTAATTCAGTATAGCCCATTGTGGTTTGGGTCCTCTAAAGAAATGAAGACTGTTGATATTTTCTTCATTGTTGCCAAAAATCATTGATAAGAAAGCTTAATTCCATTTCAAAGCACATTTTCTTTTATATATGCTTTTGCTTTATAAAAAAGGCTTATAAAACAAATGCGGGTTGATTGTTTTATCTTGGTAATTCCTAAAACTTAAATACAGATGTACATGTTACACAGCTTTCTTGCACATATAACTTTCAAAGTAAAAATCACACCTTTAGTGCTTCCAATGTACATGTATTGCCAGAAGCTTTAAACTTAGATGACCAGTTGACAGCATCATGACAGTTTTCTTGTGTAGCTGGCTGTAATCTGTCAAACCAATTCTCACAATTTCCAGAAAACCTCACAACGTTGAATCTGAATCGAAATAAAGATCAGATGATATCAAATCAGCTGTTTTTATAATTATGAGTTATATAAAATGTCTTCTTCTTAAACAATTTCAAAATAGATTTAGTTTAATTCGTTGCTGCCATTACAAATTTCCGTGCATTAGGTATGTATGTGATTTGATCATAAATGTATCTTTCTGTTTGAAATTTATCATATTGAACCCATTGCAATAGATAAACCTTTAGAAAAGAAATATTCCAATCTTATGCAGATATCATTGTAACTGGTTACATGCATGTTCTAGATAAGAGCTATTAAAAACTAAATGCTGCAAAAATCAACTAAAAGCAATTAAAATTTACCCATATTTTTCTTCAGTAAGTGTTTTGAATGAGAACATTTTATTGCTGAATACTATCATTTTTTTAAATAGCTTTTGTATAAACTAGAATACATCTGACCAATATCAATATAGCTATAAGAAGTTAGTACATTTCTACTTAAAAAAATATCCAAATTAGTCCATGGTAAAATATCAATATATCCAAATAAGGTTAGAACACTGAGGGTATTGCATGAACTCCAAAATTTTTTTTTAACTATACATGTTGTGTACTGACCTAGCACCAAGCCTGTAGAGTTGATCCCATACAAGTGAAGCCAGTTCTTGTTTGAGTTCTGTCATGTATGGGTCCATAGATCCTGATGTATCTACTAGAATCATACACTTTGTATGAACTATATTTCCGAACACTCTCCTGCTGCCTGAAAGCATATAAACACACAATTACAAGTCAGCCAGTTGATTAAGTACTGTAGATATTCTCCATAGGACATGTTTTTTTATCCTTATACATTGTTAATTCATTTACCTTTCGTAAACTATATGTAAATTACAGATGACAGAAAATATATAAATTTGTGTATGAGACTTTTTAAAATTTATAGATTTTCAGGTCATATATGAATATTTGAAGCACTCAATTTTTTAAAAGCAATTTCCAATTACTTCACCAGAACTAGTTTACACCTAATTCTATGTAGTTTCCAAAATTATTCAAAATGTTAAAAAATTTAATGAAAAGATGATTCCTATATCCTGTTTTGAATAATATTTATATAATTTTCACCTACCACTTAGTAGCCATTGTAATCTCTTTAAATATCTCTTTAATACTTTCTCTGTTTGTGACTCATATTCCTTCAGTTCATGTGGTAATAACTGTAGATGTTTTATTGTTCCTTTCACATTAATACTTGGGAATATTTCACAGTATCTAAACAACGTATGAACAGAATAAAAAGTGTTAATTCTACTTAAGTCACTAAAATACATTAACTATGTTGATACAGTCTTTAATTAAGCTATGTTTCCAATTTTAAATATAAAAAAAAAAAAATTCAAAAAAATCTTCAAACAAAATCTTATATTAGAATTACACACAGTTTATTCCAGTTTTTGTTTACTATACTGAATCAGTAAATTATCATTTATGTTATATTCTTATTTAAAATTCTAACAACAAGAAATATAAAAAGTAAAAAGCAATATATCAGACAGTTCTCTTAGTGTATATTATAAAAAAGAAATAATAAAATGATAGACTTTGAGATTTTTATAATCTTAAATATCAAATAGCTCACAAAATTACATTGGTGAACAATTTTAAGGTCACAATATATCAAACAGGTCAAAAATTCCATCTACACTGAGCTTCTAGTTAGATTTAATACACCCAGATAAAAGTGGATTTGACTTTCAAATAATTAGCTTGGAGAGTGCAAGAAGTGAATTGATTAATCTTTTTAATATCAAAATGTTCCAAATTAGAATTTTCATAGTCAGCAGATATGCAAACATACTTGGCAGAAACTTGTTTATGTAAAGCTTTGACATTGTCTTCTGTATGTTTACAATCAGGTCCAGAAATCAGCTTGTTTAGGTCCAATTTCAATCTTGATAAACTGTACAATCTCATCCACTGAAATATATAAAATCGAGTTCATATCTATGTCATATCAATATTTCATTCCTATGAACTGTACATTACATTGTTATACTAATTAATGAAGATAACATCTAAATGATGAACACTGTCATTATTTCCAATAATGAGTCAACTAACAGAAAACACCTGTTCAAGGACTTAAGTTTCCCAAATTCTAAGACTATAAAAGCAACTTATATATAGATGTTAACCTTTAAAATAAGTCAAGTAGACCTAAACATATTTCATATCAAAATGTTACCCTAGCCCCTAATGCACAATGTTATGGATAAATATAATACATGTGTATAAGTTATTATGATTTTTAAATGAACTTTTGTGTATCTTCAAAAAAAATAGCACTGCTCTCTAACTGCTAGATGTAAAGATCTGCATTATACAAAAAACTTTACACACAAATAAGATCAAACTGATAATGATTAAAGTTGATCTTTGTTAAATTTAATTGCAATTTGTAAAGATTTTGGGCTTTCAGAGCTTGAGATATGATATAGATAATTGTCATTTGTTCAAGACTGTTTAATGACCAATTAATATTTTGTTCCGTATTCTGCTTAAGTTGTTGGGTTGCTGTCTCAATAACGTATATCCAACATATCTTTTTATTCATCATTATAACTATCAAAAATGTATACAGTGACTTAGGGCTCACAACGCTATGTTTGTAGAAACTTATACTATCACAGCAGTTGATGAGTGAATAGGTCTGTATCCCTCCCTTTCTACACTATTTTTTATAAGACACTAACCTCCTTGGTAGTAACAACATCTTCTATATCTGGTATAATTGTGTGGTTGATATTCTTTCTTACAGATTTATTGCCAGGATATTTCTTATATACAGATCCTATGAACAAATAAAATATAAATAGAACATTTTATCTAGGCAGGTTAATGTCATTGTTCATATTACATGACATCAAAACATGACCCTATTTTATTTATCATTCTGCTAAGCAAAATTGACACTAAACCATCAGAATCCTGGTTCTTTGAACATTCATAAACCTTAAAATATCTCCAGCGATCCTTTTTTTCTAATCTAAATATACCTTAAAAATTTCCCCATTTCATAAACTAATAAGATGCAAATCATTAAAATGTTTAAACAGAAAATTCACAAATACAATAGAAATTCAAAATTTCAAAATTAAGTATTCAGTTGTTTACCGAAGTACATAAGAGATACTGTGCGGATTCATTTATTTTTTGTGGATTAAAGGAAAATTGTAAAATCGTGGATATTTGATTTTGTGGTTTTGCCAAAGTCTGCATATATGCAAAAGGCTAATTTGTACTACTTTGAACAGGTTTCCCTAAACCCATGATATCCAAAAAAAAAAACAACATACAATAATGAATCCGTGTATACCTAAATCAGACGAGATAAAATCTGCTGTGAATGTGTCAAAACTAATGGATTTCATATTGCTAAATACAAATACATCTGAAATTGAACGAAGAAAATCAATACGAAAACTTTTGTTAGGAAAATAATAAGATTTTACAACAATCTGAATAAAAATATCTTAAAGGTTTACCTGTGCCATCACCACCAGGCTGTTTATTATCCAGGAAGAAACTTCCAGTCATTATCTTTTTTGATTTGACGTGTTTCATTGGATCTTTTGTTGCTGATTTTGGTCTTTCTCTAAAAGCTGAAATATTAATTATACATCTTACTGATTTTGGTCTTTCTATAAAAACTGAAACTTTAATTATACATATCTAAGTGAAAATCGCACTATTGTAGACAATTATTATATATATTGTGGATAGTTACTCCAAAGTTGCATTTAATCTGCTCTATATCACATATTCAATGAAATTTGAATGAATGGATTCAGACTTTCAACTTCACTCCTGTAAATTTGTTTTTGCAGCTTCAGCATCCTCATTAATGACCCCAATCAATAAAAGAAGTAAGATGATACTATGGAACAATAAATAACCATAAGTTACAGATAGAAAAGAAAAAAGATAAACAACAATCCACACACACTATACAGACGTTTGAGAACCATGTACTTCTCTAGAAATCAGTACATCCTTATTTAGTGGCTTGTTTTTATATTGCATGTTCTTATTGTTATAAATGTTATCCTTACCTTCAGATCGGGTCTGATCCCTGATCCTTGGAGCACTCATAGGACGTCGAAGATGTAGGGAACGTTTGGCTTCTGATTCTGCTGTCTCCTGTCAATAAAGTAATTTTTAACAGGTTTTCACTTGAAATTATAACGAAGATAGAGCTGTTTTCAATCATCTTAAGGAATAATATGTTTTCCAATTGAAAAGGCAGCAAAATATTGTAAAATTATCATTTCTTATGTAATAGAAAGATATGACTTGATCTTCACAACCAAAGAATGTAAGAAACTATCTCTTCTGTTGTACAAGTTATTTACAACTAAATCAACAAATATCTTCTACAATGAAAATTTATTTAACAATTTTCTCAGTCAATAATAAGAAATTAAAAATTAGAAATCATCATACAATTTTTACCTGTTTTTCTGATCTTGCTGTGTGTGAATAGTTTGGAGATCCACCAGACATAATGGCTCTAAGTTTGAATGACTCAGGGGCTGGCAATGCCTTTATTTCATCTAAATATGGGTGGTTCTAAAATGTAGAACAATATTAGTCTACATGTTATTGTTTAAAAGTTGTCTCCCCTTACAGTTTTTTTTTTCAAAGTAAATCGAAATGACTATATAAAAATAAGGAGATGTGGTATGCAATAACTATCCACCAGAGATCAAATGAAGTGGATATAAGCAATTATCACATACAATATGACCTTCAACAATGAGAAAATCCCTGTATAGTCTGCTACAAAAGGCCCAGACATGAAAAATGTGAATCAATTTAAACGAGAAAACTATCGGCCAAATTTTATAACATAACAATTATTATTATTTACGCTTTATACCAATTCACTCTTTAAAATAATGAAGCCACGCTGAACCTCTACAGACAAGGTATGGCAAATAGGTGTGAAAATCAAATGCACCATAAAACTAACAAGTATTTCTTTTATACAGCTTTGGACAACAGAAAACATTTTAATATGAATTCAGTTAATTCTGATTAGCTTTTATAGCTGAGGGAGTTTTGACAACATTGAACTAATATAATGTAAACAAAACTTACATATCTATTTCTGTACTTCTTTTTGACAGAATCAATGAGGATTTGTACTTTTCTAGAGAAGTTCATAGCTTTGTCTATTTCTGTTGTAATGTACTGGATATCATCACTCTCTATAATGCCTGTTAACATAAAAAGATTTATTTCGTTAGAGGTAATATCCTGAAAAGTTTCTATAGTTACTAAAATTGAATTTTGAAGGCTAAAAAATTGTTTGAAGAAGATTGCATGGTTTCCAAGATTAACTGATGCTATAATGAACTAATTTTATTGGTGAAGGATTAAGTAATCAATATATGTGATCATATTACAGACTGCATAAGTAAAATATAAATGCATAAAACCATGCATTTTCTGTTACCTTAAAACAAGTGTATTATATGTATTCACCTGTTTCTCTAAACCAATGGAATCTGCCGCCACTACAATGGGCCATGTTACGTAAGCATTCTCCTGTCCGTGTGATGTTGGCATAGCGACCAGGTATAGCACCGTTAGCATCATAGTCATCAACATTAAATAAAATGCAGTGAAGTTTGATCCCTCGCCCACTGGTGGCCTGTTCAATGTAGGATGTACACATATCTTGACTCTGATCTGGAACTCCACTTGTGAAAAGATAAATGCCTTCTGGAACTATGAAAAAGAAGTAAAATGTGGAACTAATATTGTCTTTTTTGCATTAGTACAAGTGAACGAAAAAACGTAACATTCAATCGTTTTTTCAATGGCATTTGTATACATGTATCATGTTTGCATCCATTGTAAATGTGAAATACATCAACAAGAACAGTAACATTTTCAACTCTGAAATTAGAAGAGTTTATGAACTATTTGTTGGCAATACTCAGTCACAATAAATTCAGTGGTATGACAAGTAGTGATCATTTTACCCATGCGATGGTGAAATCCTACCACATGATATTTTATCAAGTCTTTGTTGATCATTCACTCACATATGCCAGTGTGATTAAAACCTTACAAAAACAGGTAATTGTTTTGTACAAAAACAATGTTCAGCATTGTCAAAAAGATTTCTAATAAAGTAAAACTCAAAAAAAATAAAAAGGCAAGGCCTTAAGGTGACCTATACTTAACTTCTACATCATTTGGTCTCTGGTGGAGAGTTGTCTCATTGGCAATTATACCACATCTTCTTATTTTCATAAAACATAGATATGAGTAATTTACTTGTTATATATTCTAAAATAAATACGATGATTAAATTTCCTTGTTTCTTACAAATGAAGATATCATTAAATTTTGTTTACAAAAGAAGCTTGAATTTGCCATTCTTGTCCTACAATAATAGCTTACTGATTTTATGTTTAATTTCTTCTTCATTTTCTACAGCCAATTTAAATGCTGACAGGAAATTCCTACTTCCTCCACACTGTAAGTCTAAAATCCACCTGAAATTTAAAACAAAATTATCTTTTAGTTATAAAAAAAAATATACACAGAAAGAATTAAGGACCATGATAATACCCAAGAAAACAGGGATCAACTAACGGAAATAAGAATGATATTGAATGGGTTATTAATAATCCTGCTTAACCCTTGTGTTTTTTATGTGAGATAAATATAAGGAATTTACATAACCTCTCTATGTATAAAGTAATGAATCAACTTTGTTAAAGTGTTATAAATTATTCACAACCACCGAATTAATTTTCATTTCAAACTTTCTCTTACTGTGGACTCATTTATTTTCGTGGGTACCAAATTTCGTGAATTGAAGAAAAAATATATTTTCAATTAGACTTGATTTCATGGTTATGCCAAAGTTTGCATACAATCCTATGAGAAATGTATACTTTGATGAACAATTAAATTTGTGGTTTATCTATTCCAACGAAATCTCAAAAATTGGTATCCAATGAATAGTGATGACTCAACATGAACAAAATTCTGAACATTCTTTGTGTATAAGCTAACCTCCATGCTGCTTGTAGATTCTGTTCTGTAGGCTTCATCATTGTGGGTTTCCATGTAACAGCTTTACTTCCAAAACTAAAATCAAATTGAAAAAGTAAAATTCATCAATTTGTTAAATTTTACAATATGCTAAATTTTGAAATGTATCTTAAAAACATACTTGCATTTGCATGAAATGGAGATATAAGTTCAACTTGATCCTAATAACAATTCATTTAAGAATAAACTGTTATCACAGAGATATGTCTCGCTTTTTTTTAATTTTGATTATGCAAATGTTGAAATTAAAATGGCAATACTTAACAAGTTAGGCTAATATTCAAAGTCAATGAACCATGACTGAGGTACATGGCTAAACCATCTCCATGTAAATGAGATGCGCCAATGCTAATACAACTGCATACCCAATATCATTGACTTATTATAAGTTGTTCCCTTTAAACAAACCTAAACACAAACATTAACTTGTAAAATATGTAAAAGTTTCAAAGTCAATGAACCATGAAGAGGGGGTGGAGCTATATAATCTCCATGGAAACGATACTTACAAATGCCAATAAATTTGCATACCAAATATCATTGACTTAACATTAGCAGTTCATCTTAAACTGATCTTATCACAAACTAATACATGTGAACTAAGCAAAAGTTTCAAAGCCAATAGGCCATGACTGAGGGGTTGGGCCAAATATTCTCCATTGAAATGAGATGTGCTAATGCTTATACAACTGAATACCAACTAACATTGGCCTACCACTAATGGTTCCCCTTGAACTGACCTAATCACAAACTAATACATGTTTACTAAGCAAAATTTTCAAAGTCAATAGACATTGACTAAGGGGGCTGAGCCAAATAATCTCCATGGAAATGAGATATGCCAATGCTTATACAACTGCATACCAAATATCATTGACCTACCACTAATGGTTCCTCATAAACTGACCTAATCACAAACTAATACATTGTACATGTAAAATAAGCAAAAGTTTCAAAGTCAATAGACCATGACTGAGGGGGCAGGGTCAAATAATCTCCATGGAAATGAGATGTGCCAAGGCTAATACAACTGTATACCAAATATCATTGACCTACCACTTATGGTTCCCCATAAACTGACCTAATCACAAACTAATACATGTAAAATAAGCAAAAGTTTCAAAGTCAAGGGACCATGACTGAGGAGGCAGGGCCAGATAATCTCCATGGAAATGAGATGTGCCAATGCTAATTCAACTGTATACCAAATATGATTGACCTACAACTTGTTGATCACCACAAACTAGACCTAATCACAAACTAATACATTGTTGACGCCGCCGCTATCGCCAACGTAGGAAACAGCATACCTATGTCTCCCTTTATGACTCCGTCAAGCGAGACAAAAATAGACAAATAATGTAGATCCAACTAAAAACATCAATCAAACATTAGATAAAAAAGATGTTATACTTACGCAATGATGTTGAAGAACTTTTTGTTGGCCATTTGTTGTTCCATCAACAATCTAATTGAGTGCTGTATGTGGACTAAATAGTTGACATTAGATACAGACATATCTATCAGAATAACTACGCTGTAATAAAAACATATAGGTAAAGTTAATAACAGGATATAAAATGAGCACTTCAGCAGACCCAAAAATCTGAGACAACAAGTTTCATAAACTAGGGGCTTTAAAGAGCCTGTGTCGCTAAGCTATGTCTATGCACTTCTTCAGCAATGGGCAAAAACACAAAAAATGTGTAAAAATCATCATTAAAGAGCAAAACTCCAATAAGGAGTCGACTTACGATATCGGCCATTTGACTTATTTGTAGATCTTGTCTTGCTGATCAATTTTGCTATTTAAAGTTTCAATCTATCTATCATACTTTATTTAAGATATTAACATTTACATTATGCAATATTAGTTGGGATGCAACATATGCATATCTTTATAAATGTCACTTTATACCTGCTTGAGGATAAACACAATAAGATAACTTACTTTTTATCTACAACAGTTCCAAAAATTCTACGACTACCAGTGGCCAACCAATCAATTCTTTTTTCATACAGGCCAACTCCAGAATTCAATTGTTTCTGATATTCAAACAGCTGGGTCATATCCACATGAACATTCTTCACAGAACCATCATGCCATTGGAACTGTACCATAGCTTTCTGAAATGTTTTTTTTTTTAATTGTATTTATATTGAAATCTGTTCACTCAGCAGATATTTACCTAATCTAATCTTTACCCATATGTGCAGAATAATCTTGAACTAAATACAAATATAAACACTAATTTTCAATTTTCAATACCACTTGATCATCTTCATCAGCATAAATAGCATAACTTTCCATTTGCTCAGGTATAATTTATGTCATGTAGAGGAACCTTCTGCAAAAGGTCATGGTTATGAAAAATGAATTGCGGCCAATATTTCCAGTTATATTTTATTCAGAAAACATTAAATTCCAAATCAGCCTCTTATCATTTTAAAATGTTTGGAATATTTTCACTTTTCAGTAAAGTAAAAGATAACCAGCAGCTGAAATCCCAAAATATATAACGTCAATAAGGCAAAGAAAATAAGAGAGCTATGTAGTGTACAGATCAGGGGAGATAATTACCTCATGAACTTGCGACTGAACAGCTTTCTTTATAACAGGTATAAATTCTTCTTTGTAAGAGTAGGCATTTGGTGCTAAAACTTGATACAAATCCAATTTTCTTGCTGAAAACAAATATAAATTGCAAAAATATACAAATGTTTAACAAATTTGACTCTGAAAGTCGCAAGTCCAGATTATATTAAACTGCTTACAAGTTTTAAACTCAGGCTACACAACAGTGAACTTTAAATCAGTATAATTCTTATATTATTCTGCTAAGGTATAAAGAAAGAAAGTATCTAATAAATATAAACTGTTATCACAGAGATATGTCTCGCCTTTTCGTTATTTTAACAATGATAATGTTGAAATTAAAATAGCAATACTTTAACATTTATAAGTTATGCAAAATATTCAGAGACAATGAACCTTGACTGAGGAGGCAGGACCAAATAATCTCCATGGAAATGAGATGTGCCAATACTAATACAACTGCATACCAAATATCATTGACCTACCTACCATTAATGGTTCCCCATAAACTGACCTAATCATAATACATGTAAACTAAGCAAAAGTTTCAAAGTCAATAGACCATGACTGAGGGGCAGGGACAATTTATCTCTATGGGAATGAGATGTGCCAATTCTAATACAACTGCATACCAAATATCATTGACCTACCATTAGTGGTTCCCCATAAACTGACCAAATCACAAACTAATACATGTAAATTAAGCAAAAGTTTCAAATTCAATAGACCCTGACTGAGGGGGCAAGGCCAAATAATCTCCATGGAAATGAGATGTGCCAATTTTAATAAAACTGCATACCAAATATCATTGACCTTCCACTAGTGGTTTCCCATAAACTGACCTAATCACAAACTAATACATGAAAACTAAGCAAAAGTTTCAAAGTCAATAGACCATTACTGAGGGGGCAGGGTAAAATAATCTCCATGGAAATGAGATGTGCTAAGGTAAATACAACTGCATACCTAATATCAATGACCTACCACTAGCGGTTCCCAATAAACTTGACCTTATCACAAACTAATACATTGTTAACGATGCCATTCCCGCCGCTGACGCCTGAAACAGCATACCAATGTCTAAATTTTTGACTTCACCAAGGCAAAAAAAATCATTATAGAACAGAAGTCAACTAGACATCATTGAGATGGGACCATCTCTGTGGGCCCCGCTGTGAATAATGTGTGGTAAAAAAATTTGTATCTTCATCATTGGACATGGGGTTATCAACTGAATCCGAAGTTTATGACCGTGACCTTTGACCTAGGAAGTTGTACATAAATAATGACACACCCTCTGGTGTTGGTTTATATACATGTCAAGTATAAACTTTGAAATCAAAACGGTTCTCAAGATATAGAGCGGACAAAATCTTTACCATAGGACATGGGGTTGTCAACTAAAACCAAAGTTTTTGATCTTGACCTTTGACCTAGGAAGTTGTACATACATTATGACACACCCTCTGGTGTTGGTTTATATTCATGTCAAGTATAAATTTTGAAATCATAACGGTTCTCAAGATATAGAGCGGACACGATCTTTACCATAGGACACGGGGTTGTCAACTAAAACCAAAGTTTTTGACCTTGACCTTTGACCTAGGAAGTTGTACATACATTATGACACACCCTCTGGTGTTGGTTAATATACATGTCAAGTATATACTTTGAAATCATAACAACTCTCTAGATATAGAGCGGACACAATTTGTTACGAACGGACGGAAGGACAGACTGATCACTATAGGGAGTCCGCCATTCGGCCTGGCCCTAATTAAATACTGAGGAAATGTTTAAGAAAACACTATCTTTTAACTTCCAAGTTACTGATGCTCATTATTCAAACCCTTTAACTGGCTATTGGTACAGCACACAGATCAAAACCAGCTGTACACTATTGCAAAATCCAATGTATTGCAATGGCAATCAGAAACACAGGCAGAAACTGCTGTTTTTAATATCAATAGGGAACTCATATCCTATTGTATCTGCCATAACAATAGCTGCTTATAGGATGTGATTATCTTAAATATAAAGCATTAGTTTGAAAATTTTCATAATAAAAGGTAATGACTAATTAAGTAAAATTATTTTTATAACCTTTCAATCCATGTTGTTTGATCCATTCAATTGAACATCTAGCTAAGAATTTTGGCACTTCTATCTTAAGCTGGAAATCATGACCAGGAGGTCTAGGTAAGAACCTGGACTGTGGTAGTTTGCTTACTTCTGTTGATATCTGAATAGAAATTATAAGTTCTTAAGGTCTATGTAACACCCTGAGTAGAGTCAACTTTAGTAAAAATTATATGATAAGGTCTTTTTATTTTAATTATTATTAGAATTTGGACATTTATCTCAATTCTTTATTTTTATCAAAAACTATTCAACAACTTTTTTTTGAGAATTTCTAATTAAAGATGTCCAGATTTTTATCAATATCAGTTCCTTTGGTTGAACAAAATGCATTAATAAAGAAGAAATTTATCTTCCATAGAACTAATCAAGTTTGAATAAAAAAGATATAAGTTTTCACAAACTGAATAATTTTGAATTTACAAACAGTTATGTCTATGAATAAAAACAGCATATACATAAATAGATAAACAAATATAGGGAGAGTTTCTAATAACATTTGAATAGAAAATCTTAGTTGAACAACTATATTAGTATTGCTTTCAATTGACTACAGAGTTGCTGACTTTTTAGTAGCAATAGCAATAACAAAATTTGACACTTTACTTAATTTTTAACTTTCATATGTGTATAAAAAAATTGAAACTGAAGAATTGTCGATGATGAAGAATAATATATTAAATTGACAAAGAGGACCTTGTTCACATGCTTACCTCATTTATGATACTGACTAGAGCACTTCCCATCATCCCTTGTCTCATTTCCTTTATTTTGTTGATCACATCCTGGGCTTTCTGAATTTCCTTCAATATTACACTGATCTCTGTTCCAGTATAAATTTGTTCCTAAAACAACATTAACATTTACTCTAAAGAAATGTTGTCATTAATTTACCTTTCCATAGATTGTATGTATTTCTTTGTCTAGGAAACATATCTATCCTATAATGTGAACTTGTATTGAAAATGGTTTAAAAAATATAGAAAATTGAATAAAGTTCTATGGCTATTTTGAAGGCCAAAAAAGTCTAAATAAATAGAGAATTTTCAAACACCTATGAACCTTTACTGATAGTATATTTTTTATACAACAGATAATCATATTTACAAAACTCTTGAAATTTTTTATGGTATGAAATGAATATAACAAGATGTGAGGTTCTAGATGTCTATCAGTCAAGTTATTTTTCACATTATGCTTGAAACTATGTCTCTCTGTCTACACAACAAATGACTGTACTGACATCAGTCACATTAAAATACAGACCCTGTGCCAATGCTCAACATTACAAGTATTTGACAATGTTCTATTCTACTTTCTTTTTTGATATTTATTATGTCAACCCATGAAACTTTTACCTCTAAAATTTTAATGGTATGCATGTATCAGTACAACAGAAATATAATATAATTTTAATTACGAAGACTCACAATCAATATGACAAACCGCAATTAGCACAGGATATTGGCCCAAAAATATTGTGCATTAATTATCATATTTTGCCCGTAACATTGTACTGTGTTCACACGTTGTTTCCCTAAGAGTAAAAAGTACTTTTTTTTAACATGCGTTAGCTTGATTTATTATATGTATGTCTAATGTACATAAGTTAAAGGGGAGATAACTCCCTACATACCTCACAACTAGCCGTATAACAATGATATGAACCTCCTGAGGCTTCTGCCAAATTCCTTAATGTTAACTGTCAAATATGAAAAAAACAACTTTATACAAAGTTTTTAAATAATCACTTACCGGTATATTATACATAACATCATCAAACTTCTTAATAAAAACAAAAACAGTTTATAATTAACACATTTTCATGAAATCTATACCAATCTGAATGAAAACTAGGAAATACAAACACAACTAGTTTTAAAATAGTAGTAAATTTAACAAAAGTAGTTTCTGTTCAACTGTTTTTTCGTTTTTCTCTGTATCTTTTGTTTTACATAGACTAAAGTGAGTGAAGTGCAAAAATTTTACTGTTTCATTTTTAAAGTTTTTAAAAGAATTATAAATTTAATTATTATGCCATTTTTTTTCTTTTCGTTGCAAATGGCAATGTTTGAGATTTAGGGAAATTTAAAACGTTCCCCTTGAAGATGTTATACTTACATTTGTTAGCTGATTACTACAATCATAGGCCACACAATTTAATTCTATATGTTGACCCACACCCATCTGATGTATATAATCACATAAGACTTCTGTTGTTTGGTCTGGACTACAAATACATAAATTTTAAATAATTTTTTTATTCTGATAGCAGTACATTATGAAACATATTACTCTACAAGTGTATAATATATAGACCATACAATCCTAGTTTTACACTCTTGAAAATAATAAAAAAAAGTTTCTTGATATTAAAATAAGATAGAAAATGCATATATTTTGAAGTGAAAATCTATCAATCATATTTGAACAATTTTTCAAAACTACTCAAAGTTGCATAAAAGATTAAATTCAATAAAGAAAAGATCTATAATATTTAAAAAAATACTTGATTACACAAATAACCAACAAAAGAAGAACCTGTAAACATACAACATAGGTATTATTTGATACTAAGTAAATATTAACTTACACACTGCCTAAGATAAGGAGTACTGAGTCGATGTCTTTAAGCTTCATTACGTGTTTCATGGACTTCAATAAATTACATCCTCCACTCTGTCTCAAACGTAATACCCATTCTTTACCTTCCTCTATTCTGTAATATTCATATAAATTATGCTTGTTTTTAATTCAAATTTCATTTGCACATACAAAGTTTTAGTGTTCATTAGTTCTTGCTATATGCAGACATGCTCTGATGCTTTAACAGATAGAAAAGACAACATTTTTCCTAATTAAAGGACACTAATGATCATTTTCTGGAGAAATTGCATGCCTTATCAAATAATATACAGGTGGAAATTTCTCTAATTTCAAATTTAAGAGCCAATAAACACAATACCTGTATGTATCTTCCATTTAATAAAAATTCAAATCAACAGATCCTTTTTGGTAGTTGAACAATGTTTTCCTGCAATGACTGACAAAATAAAGTTTATTTATCACATCCTGTGACAGTCATCTCAGTGACAAAGAATCCAATGACCTTTTTGTTACTGCTCTGACTGTCAGGCAATATAACATACAGTTCCTTGAGTGAGGTTAAGAAACAGTTTTAGATTTAGGTATTAGTGGTAGAATCATCTATACTTTTCTAAGGTTATTTGTATCGTCAACAGTTATTCCAGATATAGAGATCAATTAAGGTAAAGTATGATACCACTTAAAGATAATACTTTTATTGTTTGTTGGTATTTAAGGCCAATTTTTCAATTCATTTGTACAATTTCAAGGTAATTACTTTCAATAGTAATAGAGTCCTCAGATTAACTTTCAATCACATCATGTCATTTTTGCAAACGATTATGGCAAGACCCATACTGTAGAAGCAATAGTTTGTAATGTTTCTTTTAATGTTGATCTATAAGATAGAAAACTTAGCCAAATAGGCCATATTACGGTTTTGTGACGTCAAATACTTTAACTCAGCCTTAATAACTTTGACCCGGCGATATATATATCACTGATGTCATAATGAATGAACCGACATTGATAAATTTGACCCGAAATTATCCAGTCATCTTTTTGTATGCTGGTGAAACAAAGAAAAACATGTGTTTCTATCATGCAAATACACAAATACAATCCGATAAATTAATTATCAGGTTGTCTGCATATCGAAATTGTAAAATATCAGCTGCTCGACACAATATGAAGCCTTTTCTGCGCTCACTCAACAAAAAGCTTCATAATGTGACTCACAGCCAATATTTTACAATATCAATATGCAGACATACTGATAATTAGTACTTATCCTTCCATTATAGACTTAATCCCTCCATAATAAATGTTATCCATCCCAAATATCATATATATATATTTGCTTACATTCTGATGTTGACATCCCTAGATACTGGCCAAAGTGGGTCGACATCAGTTCCAAAGGACATCAGATATACAGAAGTTGCCTTTGATAACTGTTCATCTAGCAAGTGCTATATAAAGAAAAGTGATAACATGTGATTTAAGGTTAATGGAACAAAATTTTAACCAATAACAAAATGATATAAATGAATTTAACTTAGAGGGATTTGTATGGTAATAGTTTTTCCCATGTGAAGTAGCTTGTTTCAGGTGACTTAACCTTAGATTCACTTGAGTTTAATCTTCGTGTTTTGAATGCATTGCATCTGACAGCCCTTCAAATTCAAATAAAGTCAAATTGACCTCTTACAAAGACATCAGATAACACTTTTATGATTTCCACTGTGACCTTTTTTTCATGAAAGTATTAAAACATTGAGGAGCAACCAACTATGAATTTGATTTGTAATAAAACTTACAACAAGATTCTCCTGTAGGGTCTGTAGTCTACCAAATCCTGCATTAGCATCTGACATATCAACAACAACTGCTAATCTTTTGGCTCTAAGATTTCCAAATATCTGAAATGTATAAAATTTATGCTGGCATAAGCTTTTTAGTTTCTTAACACTTATACCACACCCTCCCCAATTTTGTGTATAATAAATATCAAAGAATAAAAAGTCAATATATAAACTGTGTAGTAAACTATTAATAATATGAATTGTTTAACCCATCTACTATTTTCAATAATCATATCTGCAATGTTCTTTTGTGTTTTTTCAATCTACAATACAAAAAATCATTTCCATTTGGAAATGTATTATTTAATATTATTCTTTTTCTAAATAAAAAAAAAACAATACCTACCCTTCGACTGCCTTGTAAATTCCATTTGATCCTCTTTGTAAATTGTTCTATAGCTCTGTAAAGTAACAAAAATATCAAATAAAAATAACACTTTATAATTTTAGTGTATCCAAAGCATTTTTCTCAATTAACCTTTATTAGAAACATTTAAACCAAAAAAGAAAATAAGCCGAGGATGTATAAATACTTGAATATGTGAAGACCTAAATGGTTTAAAGGGACCTTAAAAAATAGCAATATCCATCTAAGGTCAACTTTGCCTGAGGGATGTAGGTTGTCTTGTTAAACTGATATTGAATTAAATGATCCACTGTAAAATAATACTTCAGATATAGTGTTCAGATGTCTTCAGCTTTGCAAAACATCAATATTCATGATTAAATATACGTAGAAAGTTTGATTGTTCAATGGCACTTTCAATATTTTCAAAGTATAGCAGTTGTCAGTTTATGTATGAAAAATTCAAGTGTGCTTGGGGAAAAACATTTTGCAAACTGTTGAGGAATGGACACCAGCATCAAAAGTGTTAATGCTCAAATCTGTATCATAGAGATTCATAAATGTTGCTGTGGTATGTATAGACAGATTTTCGCAAGGTACATAGACCTCTTATCAATAACTGAGAACCACTGCATAAAGATCTTAATGTGTACTGATGATGATTTAAGCTTATAGTACTAAATAATGAACTTACACATTCAATAAATAGTATTAAATAATGAACTTACACATTCAATTTATACTCAAATTCATTGACATCATAAGCATCAAACTGTATATGTTGTACTGCTTTTCCTGTCTTATGATCTGGCTTCAGTCTGAAATGGAAATAATAATTATTAAAACCTACTTGTCTACAGAACATTCTCTTCTTCAATATTCTTTAGAATAAACATATCAAATTTTAAGATTCTTCATTTTTCAAATGCTCTTGTATTTAAAACAATAAAATAGAAATTACTTTTTGAAAATCCTTATTTTATTTTATCTAAAAGGAAGGTGGAGGTGATTAGAAAAAAAAGGGTGAGCACAAAAGCAGGTATGATAATTTTTGCTTGTTGACTCGCATAAAGAACTGCAATAAAAGCACTGTTAATGTGATATAAATTATCTCCAAGTATAATGGAATATTGAATTGTCACAGGGTTCTCACTAAGGTGAGTCCATCTGTCTGGACTCATCATTTTCAAAACTGGTGAGTTCATATAAGCAACAAGATTGTAAAATTTTGTATCAACTGAGCGCATATATCATAATTTCATATCAAAATTTTAAAAATAATCTATATTTGATGTTATTTCCCTGCTCTTTTTGTCATGGCGACTGAAATAATAAATTATATAGCAATAAAATTTTATCTTCTCACTGTTGAACAAGCAATGGCCAAAATTGACAAGTTCCGGGACTTGCCTTAAAAAATCCTTAGTGAGAATCCTGTATTATATGCTATATTCACCCAAAATACCTTTTCAAAACCACCAATGTCACAGAAGACTCAAGAAATAAATAAAAAATGTTAAATTAATGCCATACCCAGAGACTTTTCCTTTGTCAACAAGATCTTTCAATGTAAGTTTCATGTATTCTATAGAGTGTGATTTTAACCATTCTTCTGATGTTTGTAAATCAGCCTGCAGTGCAGCTTCAGCATGTTGTAATCTCTGAAATGACAAGTTTTAAACATTGAACTGAATAAATCTTTATTGCATTAGCAATAGCATTGCTTTAGCAAAATAATAAATTGAATACATATATGACAGAATACAGAGAACAATCAAATTATGCAGAGATATTGATTTCACCCAGCTTGTAACAAAAAAATTAGCTTTTGTGTATTTGGCCTATTTGAATGATCAATTATCCTAGTTATATCAGCAATGAAATGTGTGGTAATTAAAACTCAAATGGAAAGGATACTAGCAAGTGTGAAGCTGATATTCATAATATTGTTTTTCAAAAGTCAGTACAATGAATTTCCTAAATATTGAAGTAAAACTATGATTCATTTATTCTTACTATAAAATAAAGAGATTTGGTATGATTGCCAATGAGACAACTATCCCCAGAGAACAAGGGACAAAGGATCAAAACAACTATAGGTCCCAGCACATGCCTCCTACTTACTCCTTTTTAAATAGGTTAAATGTCTTTACTATTTATTATACATAAACTTACCATAAGATCTCTTGTCTGATTTACATTTGTTATTGCTAATGGATGTGGTGGCTTGACATTTTTTGTTGTGGGGTTTACCCAATCAATCACTTTCTCACTGAAATAAAAACAAAAACATACTGTAGATACATTTAATTTTGTGGGATCATTTTTTGTTTGTTTATCCTATGAAGATAATTCAATTGATAAATTTTCAAGGTTTTATCATATTTATACAGTGTTGCAAGATGTATCAAACGTAATTGTTTTTTTCCTATGAAACATTCTTTACCAAGAATCAAAGAAATTTTAACAATGCTACTGCACAAAATACATGAACGAGATGCAACTAGTGGTACAAATTTAAAGTCAGAAGCATATAACAAAGCTGCTTAAACAACTGTGTACCAATAGTGAAACTAGCAAACAACTCAAATATCATATAATCAATGTTATATCTTAGGCCTTTTATCATCATGGTAATGTTATGATATCTGAGCATCATGGTAATGTGATGATATCTGAGCATCATGGTAATGTGATGCTATCTGAGCATCATGGTAATATTTGATATACTACTTGAACGTGATGCTATCTGAGCATCATAGTAATTTGATGATTTACTACTTGAACGTGATGCTATCTGAGCATCATAGTAATTTGATGATTTACTACTTGAATTTGATGCTATCTGAGCATCATGGAAATATTTGATATACTACTTGATTGTGATGATATCTGAGCATCAAGGTAATGTCATGCTATCTGAGCATCATGGTAATGTCAGGCTATCTGAGCATCATGGTGATGTGATGATATCTGAGCATCATGGTAATGTGATGCTATCTGAGCATCATGGTAATATTTGATATACTACTTGAACGTGATGCTATCTGAGCATCATAGTAATTTGATGATTTACTACTTGAATTTGATGCTATCTGAGCATCATGGAAATATTTGATATACTACTTGAATGTGATGATATCTGAGCATCAAGGTAATGTCATGCTATCTGAGCATCATGGTAATGTCAGGCTATCTGAGCATCATGGTGATGTGATGATATCTGAGCATCATGGTAATGTGATGCTATCTGAGCATCATGGTAATTTAATGATATACTACTTGAATGTGATGCTATCTGAGCATCATGGTTATATTTGTTTCAACTTGAATGTGATGATATCTGAGCATCTAGTAATGTGATGCTATCTAAGCATCATGGTAATTTAATGATATACTACTTGAATGTGATGCTATTTGAGCATCATGGTAATATTTGATATACTACTTGAATGTGATGCTATCTGAGCATCACGGTTATGTGATGATATACTACTTGAATGTGATGCTATCTGAGCATCACGATAAAATTTGATATTACTTGAATGTGATGCTATCTGAGCATCATGGTAATATTTGATACTCTACTTGAATGTGATGATATCTGAGCATCATGGTAATTTAATGATATACTATTTAAATGTGATGCTATCTGAGCATCATGGTAATATTTGATATACTACTTGAATGTGATGCTATCTGAGCATCACGGTTATGTGATGATATACTACTTGAATGTGATGCTATCTGAGCATCGTGGTAATGTGATGATATACTACTTGAATGTGATGATGTCTGAGCATCATATTAATGTGATGATATACTACTGGAATGTGATGATATCTGAGCATCATGGAAATGTGATGCTATCTGAGCATCATGGTAATATTTGATACACTACTTGAATGTGATGATATCTGAGCATCATGGTAATATTTGATACACTACTTGAATGTGATGATATCTGAGCATCATGGTAATGTGATGCTATCTGAGCATCATGGTAATTTAATGATATACTACTTGAATGTGATGCTATCTGAGCATCATGGTTATATTTGACACAACTTGAATGTGATGATATCTGAGCATCTAGTAATGTGATGCTAAATAGCATCATGGTAATTTAATGATATACTACTTGAATGTGATGCTATTTGAGCATCATGGTAATATTTGATATACTACTTGAATGTGATGCTATCTGAGCATCACAGTTATGTGATGATATACTACTTGAATGTGATGCTATCTGAGCATCACGGTAATATTTGATATACTACTTGAATGTGATGCTATCTGAGCATCATGGTAATATTTGATACACTACTTGAATGTGATGATATCTGAGCATCATGGTAATGTGATGCTATCTGAGCATCATGGTAATTTAATGATATACTATTTAAATGTGATGCTATCTGAGCATCATGGTAATATTTGATATACTACTTGAATGTGATGCTATCTGAGCATCACGGTTATGTGATGATATACTACTTGAATGTGATGCTATCTGAGCATCGTGGTAATGTGATGATATACTACTTGCATGTGATGATGTCTGAGCTTCATAGTAATGTGATGATATACTACTTGAATGTGATGCTATCTGAGCATCATGGTAATATTTGATACACTACTTGAATGTGATGCTATCTGAGCATCATGGTAATGTGATGATATCTGAGCTTCATAGTAATGTGATGATATACTACTTGAATGTGATGCTATCTGAGCATCATGGTAATATTTGATATACTACTTGAATGTGATGCTATCTGAGCATCATGGTGATGTGATGATATCTGAGCATCATGGTAATGTGATGCTATCTGAGCATCATGGTAATTTAATGATATACTATTTAAATGTGATGCTATCTGAGCATCATGGTAATATTTGATATACTACTTGAATGTGATGCTATCTGAGCATCACGGTTATGTGATGATATACTACTTGAATGTGATGCTATCTGAGCATCGTGGTAATGTGATGATATACTACTTGCATGTGATGATGTCTGAGCTTCATAGTAATGTGATGATATACTACTTGAATGTGATGATATCTGAGCATCATGGTAATGTGATGCTATCTGAGCATCATGGTAATGTGATGGTATCTGAGATCATGGTAATATTTGATATACTACTTGAATGTGATGGTATCTGAGGATCATGGTAATGTGATGATATACTACTGGAATGTGATGATATCTGAGCATCATGGTAATTTGATGCTATCTGAGCATCATGGTAATGTGATGCTATCTGAGATCATGGTAATATTTGATATACTACTTGAATGTGATGCTATCTATGCTGTGTATTAAAAAAAACACTTTCATTAAAGAATTAAGGACATCATTTACATATACTCTAAAATATTAGCCCGTCATTTTTTAAAATCTATTTGTATTTCTAAATGGTTCAAGTTCAAGTTGTGGCTGATCCAATTGTAGATTTTTTGACAATGAAATATTATAACTACATAATGTACAATACTTTGTTACAAATATCCATGAGGCCAATAAAAAAATATATCTCTTTTTACGGTTACCCGACCGACCCTAATTTGAGCACCGACCCTAAGTCATTTCATTTCTGTTGTAACTTGAAAAATTAACTGAACTCGTGTCAAAAGCGAAGTTAGAGTTGCCAATAAACGTAATCAGTTACCTGATACATCCCTATGTTCACAATCGTGAATATGACATAAAATTGAGAATGGAAATGGGGAATATGTCAAAGAGACAACCACCCGACCAACGAGTTTTAAGGAAAATTGTGACTCTTGTAATGAAATAACACTTTGCCGCCATATTTTTCCAACCAATAACCAAGGGAAATAATGTTTGATAAAAAGCAACATGGTTTATTCATTGAGTCACTAGACAATCATCTAATGGTCAACAAACTGAGATGTACAGACAGTAATGCAACTTTATACAAAATATCATTGATCTATCACAAGTAGTTCTTATCAAAATGACTTAAGCAGAAAACTAAATATTGGAAATTGCTTATTAATTCATAGTCACTGGACCATGACCTAGGGGGCAGGGCCTCAAAATAGTTGTCAAACTGATAGGAACTGATAGTAATGCAACTTCATACAAAATATTATTGATCTATCACAAGTAGATCCTATCAAACTAACTTAATCATACTTAACATTGAAAATTGCTAATTAATTCAAAGTCACTTGACCATGACCTAGGGAGCAGGGCCTCAAAATAGTCGTCAAACTGATATGTACTGATAGTAATGCAACTTTATATTAAATATCAATGATCTATCACAAGTAGTTCCTATCAAACTAACTTAAGCAGAAACTTAACAATTGTTGACGCTGTCGCCGCAGCCAGAAAAGCAATCCCTATGTCTCGCTTTCCGAGACTTTCGTAGCAGGCAAGACAAAAACCGGGAAAACTCAGCCCATAGACAACGCTGACCTCTGCACTACAGATCACATGACTTAAAATCATGTCGATAAAAATGAAATGGAAATACCAACCTACCTACCCTATATTTTTTATGATGTAACCTTTAACAGACAATTTTTTTTTTTGCCTGAGTGTATTGTTCATATAGAAGCAATTCTTGATCTTACTCAGGAATATCTTTCAGTAATTCATTTATTTCATCATCATCATCTTCTTCGTCTTCATCTAGTTCTGATACTTCAAATTCTTCCTCTCCTGGTGCTTCTTCATCTGTTAACACTTCCTTTTCTCCTTTTTCTTTATAATTTTCTTCACTGAAATAAAATTTAAAATAAAACACTTAAATTTTCACAATATAGTAGTCCAAATGGTGATATGGGTTAATCAAATTTTGTCAAAATCTTTGTTTTCATTGTTCATTTCAGGTTTGGTTTAATCTTTTTAAATAAAACAAAATTTACTCTGAGCTATTGCTCACTAATTATACTTACCATATATCAAGGAGTGAGACTAAAATTTCATATTTGTGCATGACATTTTAAAGATATTATTTTTTGGCAAACAGAACATATAACATAGAAGAAACTTACAAAAGAGTTCTATGGCAATCATTGTACCGAATCTAGGTTTAATTGGGTTTCAAGGTGCCAGACAAAAAATCACTCCAGCAAGTTTTTTGCTGTCAATTTTTTATAAGTCTAGATCTGTAGATCAGCCCTTAAAAAATTAGAAACAAATATTAAAATATTTAATGACAGATGATTTTCATACTTCTATTGAGCTGAAATAACTTGATCGAAGCTATTAGCTCCAACTGTACCAAACCTGGTTTAAACTAATCCCTTTTGAGATTCTGTGTGGATAGTGTGATTTACTGAGTTGACAGCCCTCAGAACCCTTTTCAAACCCTGTTAACTCTATACTGGAAATTTTCATACATAATTATGTAAGCTACCTCACTTTAATTCTTTTTTTTATGCTTTTATGCCTATAAGAGGGTAGGAATGCCCTTTAACGTCAAGCGTCAAACGTCTGTTTTTCGCTACCATTAGTGTCAATACACCTAATCGCTATTTATTCCATTCCGGATAAATTCTAAAATTACACAACATTTTCATCCAGTTGACGCTATCTGGGACCCTGTTTAAACAATGCACCATGCATGATACTTTTTTAATGAGACCTGTTTAAAACATCGTAAATACTTCAAACACAATATTTTTTTGACTATAATTTTAGTTTGGAAAAAGTGGATCATAATCTATCAAAGTTTCCTATTGATCGCTTTCTAAATTTTTCCCTCCCTCAGCTCGTTACTGATGACCTTTGTTTGCGGCCTGTTGACCCAAACAGGAAGTTGTCTAAATGACGGTTTTTCCCGGATTGGACTAAATAGCGATAAGGTGTATTGTGCCTTAAATTTTTATCATCATTCGTCAAACCTTATTTTGTAGCTATATACCGTAAGCATCAAATGAAGTAAAATGTTTATCGTTAATGTTATTTTAACAAATATTTTACTGTCATTCGTCATGTGGGGTACCCCATTCCTACCCTCCTATAACCTGATGCAGGTAAGAATTGAAAAGTAAATAATATCATCCTTTGAGAATCCTGTTAAATTTTTTTTAATTTACCAAAATAGAATCAATAGGGCTTGATAAGAGATTCTGTGAGAGGTCAAATCAGAAAATCGCTCCGGATACAGAATCCTAAGGGAATTGAAATTATATAGCCTTTAATGCTTTATAGGTTAAAAAGGGTATGAAAACTGCTTCTTAGACTTTTGTTTTACCCAGAATCCTCTTGTAATGGATAAATCCTCCTTTGTCCATATCCACCAATACCAGAATTTCCGAATATATTATCCATTACACTGCAAAACAACGAACTTCTGTCATATTAGATAAAATTCTTGCGGACAGCCATATTGTTGTTGTTGTTGCCAATAGCCTGTGTAGACTCGCACTTAAGCAATTCTAAACTTTTCATTGGACAAAATTCCGGGCACCTGCACATTTGACTGACTGCACCGCTCGTTCCTTGTCGATTTATAAATCAGATTATTTCCCTTGTTTTACTCGGACTACCTCGAGTAATGAGCGTTCCGAATGATAAAAAATCGTCTGAATTTATGATTATGCAAATATTTCAGAAACACACATAAAATATGGCAAATAGGTTTGTGCATTATCTATTTCTTGTAACAAACAAACCCTTTGTGACTTCAACTATCCTGTAAAGCCTCCACATTAACAATGAAATACAGGATACGATGTCAATTTCACTCGGCCAGCTATGTAGTACAAGTAAATAAAGCATTTAGATTTACTTTATACAATAAAAAATACAACATTTAAGAATGCAAAAAACATACTTTAAATCCTTAAATGATAGAACATAAGAACCAATGTATCATGTTGAACCATCTCTAAAACGCCCAAGCCTTGAGTAAAATATATCAATCAATCTTTGAAAGAAGAAGAAAGTTTATCTGGCCAATCCCTAATCCAATAGATCTTATGGCTATTTGAGAATCTGTAACACTTGAACTATTGACGTCATACAACAATCACTTTTAATACACCTTATCGCTATTTGGAAATTTGTCCTGGTTGACCTGAGAATCTTTCCCGCTTGAACTATTGATGTCATACAACAATCACTTTTCCATTGGTGCATCAGATATTTTGTATTATGATGTCAAAATTTTACGGGAACCTTTGTGATGTCCAGTAATGGCGGACAAATAGCGATAAGGTGTATTTGTGGCATCAGACATTTTTTCTTGTGACGTTAGAAATTCAAATGTGTGTGGTGTCCAGCAATGGCGACAAAAAGCAATAGGCCACTTCACGGTTATTTCGGCCATATTGAATAGGGGCAGATTTTTTGGACAGAGGCAGAAATAGTATGAAAGTACGGGAAATCCTATGCATGTTTCCAAGCAACTGTTATGTTTTAATGATGTTTTCCTGTATTTTTCAAACCATTTTTACCTCCATTATGAAAATCTGCCCCCTATTCAAGGTGTATTAGTTTCCCCAATAAGGCCCATGGCAAATAGTTTTAGATAAGTAAACCAGATATATAAATAACACAGTGCACACTTGATCAAATTTTTTCATGAATTGTTACAAGTTTTGAACTGCAACAGCACCAATCCTCATAAAGCCACCAGTCGGGAGCCTGTTATGCAGTGGTTGTCTTTGGGTTGCTGTCTGCCTGATTTGTTTATGGTTTAAGAATAAGTCAGGCGGTTGGTTTTTTGTTTGAATCATTTCTAGTTTTGTCATGCTTGGACTTTTTATAACTCACTATAGGCTTACATGCACTTCATTTTAACTTTCGTGGAGAGTTGACTCATTGGCAATCATACCACATCTCCTTATTTTTATATAGGGTACAGTTTTTGCTCCTTGTTGAAGTGCTGATGGTGACCTTATTTACTACATCCTCATCCTGTGGTGGATACCATCATGATCATATTTCCTTATTTTTTTATGGAGTTACAAAACAAATCATGAATCGTCTTGACTCACTCTTGAAAGTAGAAGCATCCTGTTTAATTTCCAACATTCTGTTAATATCATACATTACTACTGTTAAAAAACATAATTACTAATTTCTTTCTTTCTTTCAGGAATTATTACATTTGTATAAGCTGCATATGCAAACATAAATAGCACCAAAACTATTCTTTAATTATGCACTTTTGCTATATGGGTTTTGCTCATTGTTGAAGGCTGTACGGTGACCTATAGTTGTTAACTTCTATGTCATTTGGTCTCTGGTGGAAAGTTGTCTCATTGGCAATCATACCACATCTTCTTAATTTTATATTTACTAAAGGATTTGAAAATAAATCATCTCACTGACTTTAAAGTGTTTGTACATATTAAACTATGATACAAGTATAAACATGTAGTTCCAATCACAAAAAAGGATTTCAAATACAGCATTGTATATACAATTGTTCACCTATAAGTGATGTTTTATTCAATACAAGTAACAAATTCTTACATGTTCATCCAGGATCTGTTCACCGTATTGTAATTTTAAGAAATGCAGAAGATTTGAGCTAAACACTCTCTAAGCAAGTTACATGTAGGACAGATTGCCTTTTTACTCTCACTGAAGAGTGGGAATGTGGTTTTAAGAATCATTATTTCTTTTTGACGATTACCTCTTTTGTCATGTTTGTGGTTTAGAGTAAAGAGATGGTAAAATCAGAGTAGAATCCATAAGACTACTGTGACCAACAATGTGTTTTAAAATGAGCCATGGCTCTCTTTCGAGCATTTTAATGAAAACCTCTGGATATGGGTATGTGTACATCACTCAAGTATTTTATTTGAATAAATGAAAACTTTTCTTCCAGACTAGAATATAGATGTTATTTATCCTAAAAATACCAACAAAAATTTGTATGGAGTTTTTTTCTAGTGACATATTTTTTAATAATCTTGCATTATTCTTCAATCATTGTCATGTAATATTAATTTCAGACAATCACAGAAAAGGTCTAGAAGTCCTGAATGTGAAGAATGTCTGCCTATATCAAAAAGAATAAACAGGTTACAAATAGAGTAAGTAATATTTACATTGAAACCTGGCATGTGTGTAACAGTAAACACACTAATAACAAAAATTACCCCAAAAGAAGTATTTACATATAAGTGAATGTTTAATATTTTATTCATGTATAAAGAGAAGTATTCTAAAATAAGTGATTAGGTTCTGATGCTAGGATAATATTAATTGATTTACATTTTTGTACCTTTGGAAGTAATTATATAAGCAATCAAAATTTATGAAATATAGTAAAAAGTAATTTTGTTAAATCTGATAAAGAATTCTGAATGTGCATGTACTGAATTAGTAAATCCTATAAAAATGTCAATGTAGAAAAACTGGTATTCACCTAACCTTAGGTATCTGTGGTTTAGTCATATTTGATACACTATTGAGTGTTTTACCCAGGCATTTCATTGTACATGTACATGTAGCCACATGGTCCCAAGTACAGCATGACATCAGAATGAGTAATTTATAAAATATTGCAATGGTTGATCAGTTGTGATAAAATCAGGGAAACATATCACCATCGTTATGCCATGATGTTAATACTATCCTCAAAAATGCAAAATAGTTATCTCTAATCTATACTACTAAAATAACGAGGTCTAATTTGTTAGCTGGCATGATGTAAAAACGACAAATCAAAGAAATAAACTTTATGTATAACTAATATAGGCCAATGGTCATGATGGTGTTGATTAAAAATTACACCAATTTACAACGGTTTTGACTAATTACATTTAATCTGCAGGAATGATAGAAGACAAAGTGAAGAAGAGAAAACTGTAGATTTACAGGTAAAGCAGAAATTACATTTTCATCTTAACATGTAACTATTAAAAACTAAATAAATAAGTACCAAACCAATGTCAAGCAACTGTATTCCAGGAAATGGGGGGAGGGGGTAGGGGGGTTGAATACTGAGAACAACACATAACACCAAACAAAAACATAATTTTTAAAAAAGGACTGGGAAGTCTTAGATTTGCAATAGATTAGTCTCAATTTTTATTGAATACAGAAATGCACTTTATATCAGACTTATCATTTAAATGGAGAAATTGATGTGATTATATCTTATGATGGTAGTGGATCTGTTTTTTAGCTCACCTTTCCGAAGGAAAAGTGAGCTTTTGCCATCACTTGGCGTCCGTCGTCGTCCGTCCGGTGAAAACTATTTCAAACATCTTCTCCTCTGAAACTACTGAACCAATTCTAACCAAACTTAAGCTGAATGATCCTTAGGGTATCTAGAATAAAGTTTGTGTTTTATTTTCTGTTTGTCAAAAAACATGGCCACCATGGCTAAAAATAGAACATAGGGGTAAAATGCAGTTTGTGGCTAATATCTCAAAAACTAAAGCATTTAGAGCAACTCTGACATGGGGTAAAATGTTCATTAGGTCAAGTTCTATCAGCCCTGAAATTTTTAGATGAATCTAAAAACCCATTGTTGGGTTGCTGCCACTAAATTGGTAATTTTAAGGAAATTTTGCAGTTTTTGGTTATTATCTATAATATTATTATAGATAAAGATAAACTGTAAACAGCAAAAATGTTCAGCAAAGTAAGATATACAAATAAGTTTCTTTATGACCAAAATTGTCAATTGACCCCTTAAGGAATTATTGCCCTTTAAAGACAATTTATCACAATTTGTTCATCTAGTTTGCTTACTTTAAAAAATCTTCTCCTTTGAAACTGCTGAATCAATTTCAGCCAAACTTGGGTTGAATGAGTTTCAAAGTATCTAGTATAAATTTTATATTTTATTTCCTTGTACGTCAAGAAACATAGCCACTATGGCTAAAATGGAACATAGGGGTAAAAAGCAATTTTTTGCTTTTGAAGAAAATTTGATAGATACAAAGAACATTTAAATGTCATTTTTAAGCCACTCATTAATATATTGAAAATTAAAAATGATCATTGATGAAAGATTTAAGCAAAAAATTACAGGTTAGCGATTCAGGCTCTTGAGAGCCTCTTTTTTTTGTTGCAAGACATTAAATTTTTGACTTTTGTTTTACATATTAAGTTATGTCCATTACCACCTTTCAAAATATATATACTAACATTTTATGAACATTTGAATAATATTTGAAATATTTATATTATTATATAATAGTGGTTTTGGAATTCAAGGGTTAAAAAAAGTGGCTTTACAATCCTGTCCCCTTTTAAACAAAGAGGACATTTTAATTTTTTGAAGAATTAATTCTTAATGAACAATTTAAAATGTTAACTTCTATGACATTTGGTCTCTGGTGCAGAGTTGTCTCATTGGCAATCATACCACATCTTATCTTTATATCTTATCATATTTGTTATGTCTTTTCAGTCAAACCAGTCACCAGATCTATCCAGCATACAATCATCCAGTAGTAGACAACAAAATCTGTCCATGAATCCATGTCAGGAGTGTGCCGGCAACAACAATTTACCCTATGACATTGTACAAGGATATAACCCTGAGCTTACCAATAGAGACAACCCCGAGTACTATAGGATTAATAGCATGCTGTTTAAAGCACATTATGAGAGAGTGTTAAGACATAAGGATACATTACAGTACCCCGATACATAATTTCTGTGGCATAATGTTTTAAATTATTGAAACAAGGGAATAGTTACATGTAACATTAACTGCGCCACAAAACCAGTGTTTTGTAAGAGAAATCCTGAAGAAGTGTTGCTTTTTTATTATGCTAAAACAATTTGGGATTATTAATGTATTTATCTTATGAAGTCAAATAATTTCCCAAAAGAGGGATTGAACATGTTATCATTATATTGTGTTTAAGTTTATTTGTTATGATTTTTCATTGCCTGAAAATTTTGAAGAAGAAACTATTCAGATGACATGTAAAAAATAAATGTAAGCACTAACTTGGGAATCTTTTTATTAACTTGATGATCAATTTAACTTCAATGATACTGGCAGATATTTTCGGTAGCTCTATTATTCTTTGATATGCAAAAATATTAGTTTTTGTTAATTGGAAGGTGAGATCATATTGAATAGACATCAACTATAAGTAGAAAAAATGATCCATTTTGCTCTCGTTCTAATTGTTTTACATTTGTCATTTTGGGCCTTTTATAGCTTACTATGCCATATAGGTTTTGCTCATTGTTGAAGGCTGTACAGTGACCTATAGTTGTTAACTTCTATGTCATTTGGTCTCTGTTAGAGAGTTGTCTCAATGGAATTCATACCACATCTTCTTATTTTTATATTTGTTGCAAAGCAAAACGTGATAGTTACAGTTCCATCATTGTCAACACTTTTATACTTATTTTTTAATTTCTTGATTAGATCCATTGTAGAATAAGTACTTGAAATAGATCTTGACATTTGTTATATAGTTGCTTGTCTATCATTCCATCTTGTTAACTCTTAATAGGTGAGACCCTACCCTGTCATTTATAATCCTGGAATTTGAAAGCCTTACTTTTCTCAATTGTGAAGTTTTCTGATGAGGTGTATTTATTAAGAAGTACATTTTAAAGGCTACCGGTATTGATAGATATATGGAATGCAGACTGTAAGTATATAATTGAAATGTAGGTTTTCTGATTACTGGTAGATGTTATATAAAGTTGAGAATGGAAATGGGGAATGTGTCAAAGAGACAACAACCCGACCATAGAGCAGACAACAGCCGAAGGCCACCAATGGGTCTTCAATGCAGCGAGAAACTCCCGCACCCGGAGGCGTCCTTCAGCTGGCCCCTAAACAAATATGTATACTAGTTCAGTGATAATGGACGTCATACTAAACTCCAAATTATACACAAGAAACTAAAATTAAAAATGATACAAGACTAACAAAGGCCAGAGGCTCCTGACTTGGGACAGGCGCAAAAATGCGGCAGGGTTAAACATGTTTATTGAGATCTCAACCCTCCCCCTATACCTTTAGCCAATGTAGAAAAAACAAACGTACAACAGTACGCACAGTAAAACTCAGTTTAAGAGAAGTCTGAGTCCGATGTCAGAATAGGAAATAAAAGAAAATAAACAAATTGACAATAATACATAAATAACAACAGACTACTAGCAGTTACTGACATGCCAGTTCCAGACCTCAATTAAACTGATTGAAAGATTATGTCTTCATCATATGAATATCAGGCACAATCCCTCCTGTTAGGGGTTTAGTATTATACCATCATAAAATATATGAGAAGAACATAACCCGTGTCATGCCAACAACTGGTTTTAGAATAAATATGTTTAATTCCGATGCAAAGACCCTATAAGTGAATCAATATTAAAGCCAAAATATGCAATCTTTTATGACCTGACAACAGTATCGTAACTATATCCCTTCTTAATAAGTCTGTTTAAAGGTTTTGTTAGCTTTTGAGGTGAATACTGACATTTTTGTGTTTTGTAAAGAATATTACCATAAAAGATTGGATGTGAAATACCCGAACGTATAAGATGTCTGCATGTTGAGTTATATTTACGAATGATGTCCTTATACCGATGATAAAATTTAGTAAATGTTTTGACTAGTTTATGATATCGAAAACCCTGGTGTAATAATTTTTCAGTAATCCATAAATTTCTCTCGCTAAAATCTAATACGTTGTTACATACACGAGCGAAGCGTACAAGTTGAGATATATAAACACCATAAGATGGTGACAAGGGAACGTCACCATCTAAAAATGGATAATTAACGATAGGAAATGAAAAATCATCTTTTTTATAATAAATTTTTGTATTAAGCTTCCTGTTAATGATATAGATATCAAGATCGAGGAAAGGACAGTGGTCATTGTTAGTATTAGCTTTATTTAAACATTTTAAGTTCAACAGGATAAATTTCTTAAGTATACATACTGAAGTCGTTATTATTGAGAGCCAATATATCATCCAAATATCTAAAAGTATTGTTAAATTTTTGTATCAGATGTTGTTTCGATGGGTCTTTGCTGATTTTAGTCATAAATTGTAACTCATAACAATACAAAAACAGGTCCGCAATAAGTGGTGCACAGTTAGTCCCCATTGGAATTCCGATAACTTGAAGATATATATATTTCTCTTAATTCTTACACAATTTATCCTTTTCCTGACCTGTTGATTATTTTTAATTTAATCATGTGTGGTTCGTTTTATCTCAGTTCTTCATTGGCCAAAATTCGATTATGACATCAAATTTTCTTGCTTTCCTTTGAATTTCTTATTGTGACGTCATGAAAAAAGGTGACCATGCCTGATTGATATCACATAGAAAGAACCCATCTTTTTGCAGATCATTCGAATAGAAGGATTGAGTTTGTCTGCATATCCTTTAAAAAAATTTTAAATCATTAGAGAAACAGATTCCACCACCAAATCTCGTGCAATGTGATATTTATCCACTCTCCATAGTTAAAATTTAATTATTTAAAACACTCTGAGAGCAATGCGTATTAAATTTAAAATCTAACTGTCTTGGGTGTATAAATCACGCTCGATGTAGTGGTAGAATCTATATTTATATATTAAAGAAGAAATCACAATTCTCAAATGATGTCTGATATTCTGAGCAGAATTTGACGATCCATATCTCAGCCATGCTTCAATGATGTTAAATTTTTATATTGTGGCAGCTGTAAGTTTTTTGGGGAAAATCAATCAAAAATGACTTAAAGTCCTACCCAAAAAGATGGTTTGCTTCTCATACCTGAATGTAAAAGGAAAAGATCTAAGAATTATAGAATTTTTGAAGTAATGAAAATGAAAAAAGTTTGTAGGCATTAAGAAAATGTTTTACTGGTAGTCCAAATTTAAATTTATTTTTTGTGATATCTGACAGTGTATTGTTTTTTATCACCTACAGCAAGGATTTATACAAATCCTTGCCTACAGGAAGTACTAAGTAGATTTATTATATTTCCTTATTGGTAGGTTATAGAATTGGTCTTCTCTTATGGTTGTGGCCTGTTACCTATTTCTTGCATGAAGAGATATTTCTCGTATCACACTGCACGGAGTGTGATACGAAAAAGTGATACAAAAATATGCGTTAATTTGATTAGCTTATTCAGCATCATGAGACTATATTACGATATTTCTATTGGCTAATCGTTAGGTCATTGATAACTTTCAAAGGTTAAGACGATGTACATTTCGTCCATGGCAACGGACCAATGTGATTTCTTCAAATATATTGTATTGTAAACGCTCCGAACAATTGAGAACAACACTATTCAGTGACATCCAAGACAATTATAACATAGATTTAAATACGCTACCAGCGCACATCAAATAAGTTAAAACATTTATTTTGTAATTACAGCAAGCTTGTTTCTAACTTTATTTTGAACTGTTTTACAATCAGACAATCTGTGGTCAATTGATATCGTGCCTTACTATATTTTCGTCTAAATTTGAACTATATCTATTTATTTATTTATTTTTATTTTCAATAATGGAAACATAATGTGTATCATATCATGACAGTGCATCATAAGCCTATTTGGCTGGCTGAAAATCACTTGTATATTTGAATATAATTGTTTATTATAATTCAGGTTGCACTTTAATATTAAAATATTCATTCATTCATATATACAAAACATTCACACTTTTCACCTGAAAATAATTTTTTTGTCAAATTTTATTACATTCTGAAGCTTACAAAAAGTTTTAAAATGTCTGATGTTAAAGTTTGACATCGGAACAGGACATATGACGTCCTACTGGTATGTGCAAAAGTGTAGATAAAAAATTCGGGGAATTTTTAATTTTACACAATGAAAGTATTGACCATAAGAGAAATAGGTTTAACGACTTGTGAGAATTGGATATCGCTTGATATCAACTCTTGTTATTCAATTTGAATAGTAATAATAAACTCGCCAAAGGCTCATTTATTATTATATTGAAATTAAATAACTGGAGTTGATATCGAGTGATATCCAATCCTCACTCGTTATGAAACCTATAATTATCATACCTTCTCCTTTTACATTTGTTGTACCTACTATCAGAAAAAGTTACCTTAAGTAAATATTCATTAGTTTAACACACTAAGATCTGGCATTTTAAGAGACTTGATAACCTTTGAACAGAATGTTACCAAACAGTGAAACTTGACAAAAATGTTCCTTACAAGTTCCTTTCTAAATGATGTAACTTTGATGCCAATTCATTTACAGCCATCACCACCTAAGCTTGTTCTAGTTTCTGATAGGCTGGATTTTTAAAGACTTATTCTAAGGAACTGTTGAATCAGTTGGAACCAAACTGAAACTGGTCATTAGCTGAGGTCAAAGTTTACATTGAAACCCAAATGTAAATTAGATTCAGATTTTAATGAAGTCAACCATAAAAGTTCAAGTTCAAATATTTTATTGTCAATTAAAGACGCCCATTACAGGCAGAATAATCAAGTTAAATTTGGTACAAATGATTACAATGATTACTATTAAATTTATGAATAAAAAGAAAAGAAAAAGAAAATGACAGGAGTGACTTTTTTAATAGTATTTTCTAATTTTTACTTTTTTGAGAATTCTTATTTTAAAGATCTTCCTAAGAACCAATGAACTAATCCAAATCAAGTATGACAGATATGTTCCTCTGGAGGTCTTAAAATTGACCTTGAAAAATAAACTTTTCAGATAACAAAGTAACAGCATTAATATTTCTTTATTTTACTAATCACATATAAGTGATTTAATTTACAGGTAAGTAGCATATCACAAAAAAAACCTTTTATTTTGATGATTAATGTTTTTGAATGGGGACATATGGTTGGAACCCCCCCCCCCCCCCCCCTTTATCCTGGGTTGGAACCCTCCCTTTTAAAAATGGCTGGATTCGCCCCTGTAACATTTTACTCTCCTTAGATACTTTTTGCACAATTGAAACCAAATTGATCACAG